CCCTGGGCCTGCACCTGGAAGAAGGCGTAAATGCTGCATGTAGCTGCTGCTGATGAAAGAGGCTGCTCGCGTTTCCTGTACATCCTTTTCGAAATCAGCAGAGACTGAGAACCTGCTTTCTTCTGCCACCTCCCCGCCCCTTACCACTTGCTGATTCACGCCCGCCTTCCCCTTCTAGAGCCAGGATTGTTTTTCTCCACCTCCAGCCCCATTTCCCTCCTTCCTCCACTGCCATTCCGTGCTCCTAGCTCCTGCACATCCGGATGGCTGAAAGTTTCTTCCCTGTGATCTCCAAGAGCCCCCCTGCCCTCTGATTGAGACAAAGGGGGGACACCTGTCTGACCTGGCTGGCACAGGGCCAGCTGGGAATCAGTAGGGGCCCAGCAAATGACAGCTGTTATGACCCAATGTCTTCCTCCCCAGCCCCCGTACTTAAAAAATATATATATTCTGTACTGGCCCAAATCCACACAAAACCGTTACTTTTCTTCCTAGACATGGAGACTGGATACTCAGTAGATAACTGCCGCCTCTATGCTTCGTTTCATGCTGTGCAGACACGGGTCTACACATAAATCAACTCGTCCCAGTGCTTCATCTTAAAGGATGAGCGTCTCAGGAAGGAAATCAGACCCCAGCACTTGAGAACAATAACGGAAGACCCCATGCAAGTCAAAACAGTCTCCCAGTACGTCGTTAGCTAAGTGAGAAGACAGCCTCTGGATTCACAGCAAAGCAACACAGTTCCGGCGGAACTCAGTCAACATCACCTGAGCATCCTGACTTGCTGGTGGATGTACTGTTCTCACCAGTGGCTGAAAGTGTCGCTTCTAAATCACGTGCTGCTCAAGAGATGCCCAGTGACAGAGTGCTCACACAGTGACACTCCCAGGCCAGCTACGTTTCAAAAGAGTTTCTGTTTTTAGAATTTAAGGAAACTCCTCTCTCATACAAATGCATCCCAAATGACACCTGGCAATCCAGGGCCTGCTGAGACCTGGGGACCAGGACAGGGTCTGGAGACAGGGACAGGAAGCAAGAGCTCCCCACCACAGCGAATGTCCATTCATCTAGGAGTTGCCAAGAGACTCCAACCCAGCAGGGTGGGATGAAAGAGCCGGCCCAGGAGCTGGACAATCAGAGACCTGGGCTGACTTTCCACTTCTGGGCTGTGTGACTTCCGACCCGCTGCTCCGAGCCTCAATTTCCACATCAGTAAAAGGAGACTCTCCTATACAACCCACCTCTCACTGTCCTGCCCACCTTTGAATGCAGCTCACTGTTCACCTGTCCACCAGGTACAGGCATTTGTGCCTGCTCCCTTCCCACGAGGGCTGGGACTCTGTCTTATCATGGTGTACTATTTGATAATGAAATTATTTGAAAAGTTTTGGGCAGCGTGTCTCTTTCCACATGACAAGAATTCATCGCTTTGCAAGGCAGAAATAGAGACACAGATGCAGAGAACAAACGTATGCACACCAAGGGGGGAAGGGGGGTGGTGGTGGGATGAACTGGGAGATTGCGAGTGACATATATACACTAATATGTATAAAATAGATAACTAATAAGAACCTGCTGTATAAGTAAGTAAATAAATAAAATTTAAAAAAAAAAAAGAATTCATCAAATAGCTATTGAATGGATGCATGACACACAGCACATGAAGCAGCCGGGCACATGGCCACAGGCACATTGGGCTCCCGTCAATTCTCAGTCCCTCAGCCTCGGGGAGATGCGATCCCCATGCCCTGTCAGGTGTCACATGTCTCTGACAGTGGGATGCCCTCCCCAGTACACAGACACAGGGCCAGATGTCAAGCTTCAGACCTCCTGGCAGAGCACTCACCCCACCCCCTACCTGTAGAACTGGAGCCCACACTTAAATGTCCATGCTCGAGAACTCTCTCGAAAAGTAACAAGACCTGTCAAGTCGATTTTTTTTCCCCCCCAACTGGCTGGAGCTGAGCCAAAGCTGCCCTCCTTAGGTAGGGCATGTGCTCACCTGCCCAGGGCAGCCCCAGAGTGTCTCCCCTCTCCCCATCCCCTGGAGCTAGCCCGGATGCGGATGCTAGCCATGCCATCGGCAGATGCTAGGCGGATGCTAGCCGGGCCACCTCCAGCCAGGCCCTAGGTGGCCTTGGACAACCACAGTCTAATCACAGTCCCCCGTGGCCCAGCTGGTTGACTTGGAGTTTCTTTTCTGCTCTTTCTCCAGACACCAAATAAGCAGAGTCCACTTCCCAGCCTCTCCCAAACTTTCCTGTAAACATAGCCTCTTCCAGCTGCAGGGATTAATCTTCTCTCCTTTAGGCCAGCGGAAAATCAAGTTCCTCACCTCTTCCGGTCAGGGGCAGCAGCAACAGAGGAGAAGAAAGGTGCAGACACAGAGGCCTCAAGTGGGCAGCCACAGTGACAGTGCTGGGATGCCTGGCCATCTAACCATCAAAGAAAAGCAAGGCTCACGTGGGACCCACTATGGACAAACCCGCCTCTCCACCTCCCACACACAATATCCTGGATGAATTAACCCTACTCACTGCAGTCATACAATACCCAGAGAGAAAAAACACAAAAACATTATTGAATTTCCTTCAGAGGGCCCTAGAAATGGTTCTCCCGGGGAGCTGGACCTAGGAGGGAAGAAGGGCCCTGCAGCTCCACTTCTGGCTCAACTACGCAACCAGGCACTGAGAGAGAGACCACGGCAAGCTGCTTCACCTGGCTGCCTCAGTTTCCCCATGCGGCAGGAGGCAAGGAAAACGTTTTCCTGCCAATCTTTCAGGAGTATTGGAGACAAAAACATATTTGATTAAAGACTTCCTCATAAAAAGGCATTTTTATGCCCATGCTATTTTAAACAAAACCATACATGATTTGCACCTCAAGGCGGCCTGATTCAACGTACAGTTGGTAAAATTAATGAAGGGAGGGTTCCTGATTTTGCACCATTTGGGAGGGGGGCGGGAGTAGGAAAGCTGGGCATGGGAAATGGTGTGCGAGGTTCTAGAGGAACTTGGGGGCAAATCTCCAGGCCTCAGTTTCCACCTGGGCGCCTCAGTGGGTGCACGTGCCCCCGGGCTGCTTTCTGCTCCAACACCGGCTGGCTGCCCTCTCAGGAACCGCAGCTGATAAAGAGGAGCTGGGGCCCTGCGAAGCCCTCGGCTCAGCCTCACGGAACAGCGCGCCACATCCCTTCCCGGGGCGTCCTGCGGCTTCCTGGACATACAACTTCATTCCCCAGAACTCCGTGCCACCAACTCACCCAACGTGAATGCAGCGAAGGGCCTCGGGGAACCGGGAAATGGGGGCCGGAGGAGCGAGTCTCAGCCCCAACCTTTGCCGCCTCCTTCTCGAACCTCCCTGCTCGAGGCGCGGACGTCCAGCTGCCTACAGCCGGCACCCGAGCCCCAGCCTTCAGTCCACACCCGCCGCTCCAGCCCCGCCGGCCAACCCCGGGCGCTGGGCGGACAGGCAACGTGGGCAACAGGACCGCGACGGGGCGGTCAAGCAGCCGCGCCCAGGACCCTGGCGGCTCCAAATCCTAAACATACACGCACACACAAGCGCGCGCGCCGGCCAATCCGTTCGCCCGGAGGAGTCGGAAGGCGCTTCCACGGCTCTTCATTCATTCCCCCAAAGGCGAGGTTCCCTTCTCCCGGGCGCCTCCATCCCAAGATCCTAGGGGGCTCCAAGGGGGCCAACTGCGCCACGAGCCGCCCGCCATCCGCCCACGGCCGCCGAGTCCTCTCCACCCGCACACACAACCCAACAGACTCGGGCTCCATCACGATCGGCAGCGTCGCCCCCGCGCAGGGGCCGTTGCCACCGCGGCTCCCCACGGCTTCGTCACCCCGCAGCCCCACCGCCCGGCCGCCCCGCCGCGCCACTCGGCTCAGACCTGCACCGCTCGGCTCGCCGCGCCCAGGCCGGCCGGGGACGCCGCCGCCGCCACCGCCGCCGCCACCGCAGCCGGGAAGCGCCGGCTACTCCGGAGTCACGCCGCTTCCTGAGCTGCGGCGGGGCGCTGTGAGGGGGCAGGGGGCAGGGGGCGGGGAGGAAGGAAGAGGTAGCGGGGAGCAAAAGTTCAGGCCGCCCCGGGCCTCGCCGCGCCCCCGTCTCCTCCCAGGCCCGCCCCCGCGGTCCCCCTCTCGGAACCCGGTCCCACAGGCTTCGGCGCCTGAGACACCCCCCTCCACACACCAAGCCTCCCCTCCCAGTGCGGCCGCAGGACTGGAGCCGGGGCTAGGAGGCGGTTCTGAACCGGAGTCCAGGAGAGAGTGGCAGATGCACACCTACCTGCCCCGGGCCGCGCCTGGAAACTTCCCAGAAGTGCGCTGGGAAAGCGGAGCGCAAGGCTGGGGAATCCCCACCCCC